TGCGTGGATTCTAATAAGTATATCCGCGGCATTTGTGTGTACCACACGTAAGCGTGTACCAAAATGTCGAAGAACGCGTGAATGTAGGTTAGAGTGCGGTAGGGTAGCGAAGCCGCAGCAAGCGAGCAAACGAGCTGCTATGAGAACGAGCAAAAGAGAGAGAGAGAGAAAGAGGGAGAGAGTGAGAGGGCGAGGGAGTGAGGAGAAAGGAGAGAGAGAGAGAGGAATAGCGAACGCAAGCAGCTGACGCGGCGGAATCAATATTCCCACGTGTACTGCTATACGGTACATATATATATATATATATATGTATATGTATATGTATATGTATATGTATATGTATACATACATTCTCAAAGAATAAATGCTACCTGTGTACGCATCTATCATGATATGATGGGGGTCCCTCTTTTTATGCGAGAAAACACATTAAAATAAATGTCTAAACATAACTTAAATTTCACTTTGTGACTGCGTATAATCGTATTTTTAATTCTTTCCTTTTTTTTTCTCTTTTTTTTTTTCTTACCTTTCTATTTTTTTTTCCTCTTTTCTTTTTTATTTTTGTTTCATATCGAGTGATTAATATTTTAATTTTATAATATAATATTTTTGACGATTTTCACACAAATAATTTTTAAAAAATGAATATATTCGAAAGAGCTCTTGGTTATTCTTTTTTTTTTTCTTTTTTGTTTTTTTTTTTTTTTTTGTAATTTTTTTTTATCTCACATCGTCACTTTAATAGTCGAGATTAATTTAAATATGCATATTCGGGAGCTTTTCATTTTCTTTCTCTCTCTTTCTTTTTTTGTTTTATTTTATACGAATAGGTACTTTTTCATTTTTCGACGTCAAATGTACACCATGCAAAATAATAACGGAAAAATTGTATAGAAACAAAATGGGAAGAAAGAAATTTATAGAACGTAATAAAAAATTCGACGTTTATTATCAGAAATTATATATTTCAAAGGAAATATCTTTAGTCGAAGACGATAATGCTAAATCGTAAGATATCGACGTATTTTCTCGATAAACAAACGAAATAATTGACGTTCGTAGTACAAAGAAATTTTTCCGTTTAAATCGCTTTGATCTCTTCTGGCTTCATCCAATCTTTTCTCTTTCCTGAATATTGCTAATTTTTTTTCTTTCTCTCTTTCTTTCTTTTTTTTTCTTTTTAAATATTTTTTCATCTTCAAAGAAACATCATAATTAAAATATTACAATATTATAACACATCAATGGTGTTATTACGTTAACGTTAAATTTAAATAATCGTTTCTAAAATTAAAATTGAATTTCTCGAAAAGAAAAAAAAAGAGAAGAAGAAGAAGAAGAAAGGAAAAAAAACAGGGAAAGAAAGAAAAACAGTATTATAAGAAGTATATGATCTAAGTACAAACCAATCAAGTGAGCTCCGTCGGTCGTGGCGCGGGCGCGTACAGAGCTTTCCGATTGGTCGACGTGCAAGGAGGAGAGAAAAAGCAGATTTCTGATTGGTTGACCGTTGGCGCCTAAGGCGGCTAGGTCACCAGGAATATACACACACTTGGTCTCTCTCGATCTTCTTGTTTCACAATCAGACGATCACGGACCGCGAAGCGCATCGTCGTAGTAATCTATCAATGAATCATCTTCGGAGTGTTTCCCTAATCATTCATATCATACATTTGTAAAATATTATAAGTGTTTTTTCTTTCTTTCTTTTTTCTTTATTATTCTTCTTTTTTTCTTTTTCCTGGTTTTTTTCTCTTTTTTTTTTTTTTATTTTTTTTATTTTTATTTATTTGAAAAGTTGAACAAAAACATTTCGAGAAAGGAAAGAAAAATATTGTGAATCAAAGATGGAACCGTCCAGAAGACGACTCGTCCGTTGCGATAGAAAACGAAGACCGCGTAAAGGATAGAGAGAGAGAGAGAAATATATATATATATAGATAGAGAGAGAAAGGTATAGAAAGAGATAGAAAGAGGAAGACGGCGCACACGCGGGCGACTGCAATCAGGTGACGAGTCGCCGCACTTTCGGTTCACCCCTCTCTGTTTCTTCTCCCTCTTCCTCCCTTCATCTATATCTTCCTTCGTATCACCGTACTAGCGCGACCTAGAAGAGAAAGAGAGAAAAGATATGAGACGAGAAAACGGGAGTCATCGCCTGGAACTCGCGCGGCACGTTTCACATCTCTCTCTCTCTCTCTCACTCTCTCACTCTTTTTTCTCTCTCTCTTTTTCTTTACCTTTATCTTTATTTTTCTTTCTCTTTTTCTTTTTCTCTCTTTCTCTTTCTTTCTCTGTCTCTTTTGGTATATATATATATACGCGTTTGTTAGATCGGTTCTCTCTCTCACTCATTACCATTATCGTCCGGTATTCTCTATCTCTCTCTTTCTCATATTCTCTTGTTTCCAAGCGCAGGCAAAAGAAAGAACGAGATACGCCTACCGCATTTCTTTCCTTTCTCTTCCTTGTCCTCCTCCACCTTCCCCTTCCTTTCTTCTCCTTTATCCTCCCTCTCTCTTGCCCTCCTCCTCCTCCTCCTCCTCCTCCTCCTCCTCCTCCTCCTCCTCCTCCTTTTCCGATTCGTCTCGGTTATCTCGTTCGTCGTCGCAGACGGAAAGTGGACGTCGTGCGGTTCTCTTCTTTGCTATTGACGAGGTCTCAAATTCTTTAAGAAGGAGTTCGTTGAAATAAGATCGAGGAAAAGAAAGAAAGAGACAGACAGAAAGAGAAAGAGAGAGAGAGAGAGAGAGAGAGAGAGAGAGAGAAAGGGGAGAAAAAAATAGTCAACACGTGTGCGAGAGACTCTCTCCGTTTTGAAGTACATCGAATTCGCGAAATCCTTTTTTTCTTATTGGCCATTTTTATATATATATATATATTTTCTCTCTCTCTTTATCTATTTAACCATCGGTCTTTTTTCTTTTTTCTTTTTTTTTTTTTTTTGTTATACGTACTCTCTCCTTGGGCAAAGTGGCCGAGCGAACGCGCATACTACTCGTCGTCGTCGGCGTTTTGTCAGAGACAACCCGCTAAAATTGGATACTCTTTGGTGTGAGGAGATAGGACGTATTAGTGCTGCTGCTGCTGCTGCTGTCGCTAGTGGTGGTAGTGGTGGTGGTGGTGGTAGTGGTAGTGGTGCTGGTACTAGTCTGGTACTGGTGCTCTCGTGGAGGTGGTGGTGGTGGTAGTGGTAGCACTAGCTAGTGGTGGTGGTAGAGGTAGCGGTAGTGGTAGTGATCGTGGTCGTTCAGGAGAAGAGAAGAGAGAGAGAGGTGGTGGTAGTAGTAGTGGAGGTGGCGGTTGGGGAGGAGGAGGAGGAGGAGGGAAAGAGTGCTGTGCACGGTGTACTCGCAGCTGACCGAGACGACGAGCTGGACGATGCACCGCGACGGAAAGGCATCCTGGCCACGATAACGAAGGTACGACGAACTTTACGCACCGTCAATAAATATCTCGATTATTTTCGAGTATTCCTCAAGGATACGAGAGAGTAAGCCTCGAGAAAAAAATTATACGTGGAGGAAAGATGGATAATAAATCGTTGATCGTAATTATTTCTTCGTATTTTATTTCTTTTCATTCAATTTTTTATTTATTCGTTTGTTTATTCTTTAATTTTTTTTTTTTCTTTCTTTCTTTCTTTCTTTCTTTCAAAAGGTCGTGTACGTATCAGTGGATTGTTTAGGTGAAAAACGGAAGATAAAGAAAAATGAAATGAAAATTGGTGAATTGTTTAGGTGAAAAATGTAAGAAAAGAGAAAAATGAAACGATGTCTCTCCGAGTGAAGTTTGAGAAGCTTATGACGTTTTTATTGTGTGTGCTCTAACATTTCTCGTTGATCTTCATTTAGTTAGTCGTTAACGTTCTGTGAGGTTGTTTTCTCTCTTCTCTCTCTTTCTCTCTCTCCTCTCTTTTTTCTTTCTTTTTTTTCTCTTCAATGTTTTGTGCGACAATATTGCGTTAAAAAGACACGATGCGTGACTTTATAATTAGTGTCTATATATAATGACGTAACTAGTGATGGAAATTCACAAAGGATGTTGTTCCCGTACAAAAAGAGAGAGATAGATAGATAGAGAGAGAGAGAGAGAGAGAGAGAGAGAGAGAGAGACTGAGAAAGAACGAGAGATAGAGAGTGAGGGAGTGAGTGAGTGAGTGTGAAGGGGCGGGGGAGTTTGTTTCGACGTAAAGCTCCTAACGAAGATATGATTTACGATTTTCTAATGAACTTTCTAATAAAAGCTTCAATTTATAGAGAGGGAGAGAGAGAGAGAGAGAGGATGGATAAAAAAAATTTCCTTTGTTTGTTTTTCGTTGAAAATTTGTTTATCATTATTCCTTTCATTTTTTTTTATTTTTTTTTTATTTATTTTTTTTTTCCTCCGTTAAGAGAATATTTGTGCATTAAAAGTTAACTGTATGGGGATTTGATTTTTCATTTAAAATCGAAAAAGAGAATCCTTTTTTAGGACCACTGTGAGGAATATATTCCATAGAGATATATCGAATTAGATAGAAGTTAATTGAGTTTGTTGTTAAAACTAATAACGCATCGTGAACCTACAGTGGCAAACCATTCGTGGTTTTGTTCGACCACCATCGTTAGAGAAACGCTTTGAGTCTCGCTTTTCGCTGTTATACTCTATCGAGTTCACCAAACCATATAGTTCTTTGTATATTAATTATCATGATTGCTGATTGTATTATTTTTATGATCATAAATTTATTTATTTTATAATTGTCCGTATGATCACTGAAATTAATTAAATTAGAAATGAATTAATGATTAAAATGAAAATTGTCCGTTAGAAAAATATTTTCATTCAAAATTTAATCGCACTTAGAATACATATATAAATATCCCGTAGATGTATGTACGACTGATATTATATTTATATTATATATTATATATATTGTAGTGGTAGCACTACACTATTATTATATTATATAGATATTATATATATAATATATATATATATATATATATATATATATATGTATTATATATGTAGGCGTACGTATAACTTGCAGATGCGTTTGAATTTCGGATAATCGTTCTTTCGTTTTATCGACGTACCCAATAGTAGAGGTGCACATGACAATTCTATTCTCGATTTCGATACCCGGTCAGAGATTCTTTTTATAGGCTATCGAACTTACGTCCGTCGATAATACGATTCTCAAATAGTTTCCGATCGGACAAAAGTCGGAATCGAAAATATAAGAAGAAAATGATAGGAGTGGGGTGGGATGAAGTGGGATGGTTAGGAAAGAAAGAAAAGTAAAAGAAAAAAGAAAAAGCAAAAAAATATGACAATGTTATAAAAAAAAAAAAAAAAAAAAAATATATATATATTATTCTTAAGAAATCATTGAACAATTTGTATCAAATCGTTGGTTTACCTATCTACTTTCTTCAAGGAATCTCAAGATTTCTCGTAATGTCTGCAAGAAATTCTTCAAGTCAGTGATATCCGAATACCATTTGAAATTCAACGTGGCGTGTTATGTACGAGGAACGTAGCTGTAGAAACCCGAAATAACGTGCTTCACAAACACACGCACACACACATACACATAGACACACAAAGAGAGAGAGAGAGAGAGAGAGAGAGAGAGAGAGAGAGAGAGAGAAACGAACATATACAAATTTTGAAGAGTATATCGCAAATCGAACAATATCGTCGTTGGCAAGCCAACACTGACAGGTGTCACTTAGTATATTATGGTATTTTCCATTCTCGACTATAGATAGCTCGATTATCTATAATTCTTTTCTTTTTTTTTTTTTTTTTTTTTTTCTTTTTTTTTTCTTCTTTTTTTTCTATGTCATTAACCCACCCACTCAAGCTCCACCAACCTTTTCAATCTATCACGAAAGAAATTATTAGATCGAAATTTTGTAGAGCAGAAAATACATAAGGTTGTCTCATATTTCTTTTGATATTATTATAGTCTTGGAAAATGTTATTAAAATTTTATCGGAAAAAGAAAAGAAAAAGATTCAACAATAAAATATATAGTAATAATTGCATCGTTCTATATCTATTAAAATTTTATAGACTCGACTATTGCTTCTCTAACCTTTCGAATGTTTGTTGTTAGCCTTTTTTCTTTCTTTCTCTTTTTATTGTTTTCCTTTTTTCTTTTTTTTTTTTTTTCTTCTTTTTTTTTTATACACGTAACGCAGAATATTGCCGAGAAATATTGATGTTTTCCTCGGTGAACTTAATTTCTTTCGGTGAGCATGTAATCTCGTTTGGTAGTACACCTGTGTGTGAGGACGAGCAGAAACCTCATAGTTCCGGTGTGTTTCGTAAAATTACCCTCGTCTGATGATATATATAAAAGAAAACATATGTGCAAACTCATAAAATGATAATCGCTTAAGTTAAAGAAAATTACAGTAGAGATTTCATGAATTTAAAATTAAAAGTCGTGTACGTACCTTTCAGTTTTGTATATTTTGTTGTTTGAGTTCTGTACATGTATGGTTTTTATTTATTTTTTCTTCTTTATTTTTTTTTTGTTTTTTTTTGTGTTTTTTTTTTTAACCTTCTCGTCTTCTTCCTCTTCCTCTTTTCTTTTTTCCAACGTTTTTAAATACATAAATTATAACTCGTCACGTATAACGTTACAGTCGCATTTCCATATTTTCCACATTTCTCTCATATTACGTGGAGTACATTTGAATAAGGTTTCAACTGTTTGAAAAGTAACACACGCTATATATATATATATATATATATATATATATATATATATATATAATCATTAAAAATTAGAGAACAAGGAGATCTAGATCGCGTGGTATAGCAAAGCTCGCATTTCTCGATCTTAGAAACGTGTTGCGAGACAAAACGGAACGGTCGCCGTGCTTGGAGACCTTAAATCCGTTAGTAGGTGAAAGAGCACGTTGCGAGGAGGCAAAAGAGAGAGAGAGAGAGAGAGAGAGAGAGAGAGAGAGAGAGAGAGAGAGAGAGAGAGAGAGAGAGAGAGAGAGAGAGAAAAGGAGAAGAGAAGTAGAAAGAGTAAGAGAACTCGAGTAATTCGATGTGACTCACTCAGAGTATCTATGGCACAGAAACTCCATGACAGCCATTGTGATCGCGCCTTTCTTTCGAGACCTCGTCAGGGTTCACGATCTCGGACCAGTTTCTTTTTACTACCTTTACCAGTTTTGTTTTATAAGTAACTGACGACGACGACGACGACAACGATGACGACAACGACGACGACGATGAACGACGACAAGGAGGAGGAGAAAGAGGTGGTCGGGTCCGTTGGGAAAATCTTCGATACGATCTAACTCTCGTTCAGCTTTGAACGTTAGCCTAACACCGTCAGGGTATATACCTGAGGAAAAGGTCATTGATCCTTCCTTGGATAGACTTCGCTCGATCGTGCCTAGTTACTTTTCCTTCGTCTACCAACATAAATTCATTTTCTCGGTCGGTTGATTGGTCGGTCGGTAAAACAGTTAAATTTTTAAT